ATAGCCAAAGTACACAGGGCAATAAATACAACAGGCTTCCTTTGGATGATACACATCACACTTTTTGAAAAAAAAGCAAAACAAAAAATAAAAAGCCAGGACCCCTAATTATAGGAGAAATGCCCCACCTTCTTCTTTTCTGGATAGACAGAAATAGGTAGGGAAGGATAATGGTAATGTCAGGCCTGGTCTCAGTAAACAGTTTTTTTGTATGCCCATAATTAAGTGAAAAGGCAAAACGACTTGCAGCAGCTATAAATCAGCAAGGCAGGAGTCAACCGTCTCCATGAAGGAGAGTCTGTGCATACACAACCGTCCCCGAAAGGAGAGCACTGTTCAAGAATCTCGTCTGGGTGTTCTCTCTCACCACTCAGGTGACTAATCCCAAAGGCAGAACTCCAGCAGCTGCTGTTGAGTCACATACTTCACAGATAAGAGATCTCTACTCAGAGACTTCTCTCCAAACCTTAGCCTGATCTAAGCATGGCATCACGAAGGTAGCTGAGGGACAGGGAGGTGTCCCCAGACTTGGATAGGAGAGGGGAAAGGCAACTGATTGTCCCTTGGTTCAAACAACAGAGAAGAAAAGGATGTGCATCCTTACTTAGAAGAACAAATCCAAGAGCAGGGATAGGCTGACCAATTCTTCTTAGTCTAAAAAAAGACAGACGCTGAGAACCGCACAAGACGAACTTAGCACAAGTATACAAACAGGAAAGTAAATCAAAGGAGCCCTCCCTCTTTTGTTTGCGCCCTTAGTTCTCTCTGCACTTCCAACTTGAAATAAAACTGTCGAGTGACCCTTCTCAGATCCACACACCATCCTAGTTTCTGCGTATTCCTGGTTTGGCCCTGTGTTAAGGGAAACTGTTAATCAGAGGTCCATCGGCTTGTAATGAAGTCCAGGCACTGAATTAAAGGATCCAGATTTGTTGCTCTCTGTCTTGCTCCAGAGAGGTCATTTTCCTCTGGCTTTTAAGCTAGTGGAGAGGCAATTCCCTTCTCGGGAATGTATTTCACACTGTAGTACTAGTGAGCTACTGTGCAGGGACAGAGCTGTTTATCCCCACGAGTCTTTTCTGCCACCATCTGAGAGACATCTTTATAACTATCTTACAGACATCATACAGATAACAGAACGGAAATCCCAAGATACCGTTTGCCTAAGGTCATTAGTGTCACAAGTGGTAAAACAGGCATCAGCTTAAGTCTTCACCTGGAGTCCTCCCACTGAACATATTTTAGGTGCTCCACCAACAGGGAGAGAAGGGATAAGAAACAGGAAAAGAAAACGACCAAAGCTGAAAGTCTAGCTATTTTGGCATTGATTTGATTTCTAATGTTACTTAAGGCAGTGGTTAAGATTTCAATCAATCACCTGTCATTAAAGAACAAAGGTACAGCTCACAATTTGCTATCTTCTCATCAAATAGTTAGACATAAATAAAATTTAGCAATTTTAATTGGTTTGGCACCGACTTTCAGATTTCCATATGGTTATTTTCCCTGTTTTATGTTAAACGTAATCGACTTAGCACTTGAGTCTGAAAGTCTTGGCAGAATGTATCAATTAAAAGCTACATAAATTAGAACCATTGGAAGCACACACTGCAAACTGAGTGACTGCAGGGACAAGATGTTCAAATGCTCTTTTCACAAATATGTTAATTTTCTATATAGTAACCACCATTGTCACTCACGTGACAAATATTTCACAGACCAAAAAAAAAAAAAAGGGAGGGGGGAATTTTTTTTTTTTTCTAGTATAGTAAGAGCTAAAATTCTATTTGTTTCTTTTCTGGGAGCTTCAGCGTTCCTAAAATAGACCTTTCTGCATTGTTTTCAAGACAGATCTTTCCTGTCTCCTTATTTCTTGAGACTGACAGCATTCACCACAGCTCTGGAAACCTGCGGGGGGGGGGGGGGGCAGGGGAAGGTAAGCACAACAGGCATACTCATGAACACATTCTGCTGACTGCACCTTTATGTAAACCGCCACTGGCATTGCAGTGTGGCCTCTCAATTGGAACTATTAGAATCTCGTGGTTTTTAAAAGTAGCTGCTAGACATTTCTGAGCCAGTCACAGTTTCCTTTAGATACCATAAATTCCTACAATTTGGAAAAAAAAACCACAAAGAGAAATCTCAAAAATACAAATCACATTCGCATTGCAAACTTAAGACATACATCACTGGCCTGGTTGCTCCTCGGGACTCGTGTACTTATTTTTCAAATACTGAAGCCCATCACCACTGCTAAGTAAATCAGAGAGTCATCCATCAAGCCCCAAGTGGCTGCTGATGGAATTTTCACACTTATTTAGCTTGACTGAAGGCTCAAAATGCCTGGAGTCCCCATGATTCTTTCAAAGCTATAAAATTTAAATTAAAATCCCTTAAAATATTAACATTACATTTTTTTTTATTTACTGGGTAATGAGAGCATATTGAACAGGGGGGGTTATAAAGGAAGTTGATATTGATCCCATATTTACAGTAGACTATTTAATAACAATAGATTTTCCTCCCAGGCAAAGATAACATCAGATTAAAAAGACAAAAAAAAAAAAAGGCCTAGATTTTTCTTAGTGTCCAGTTCCCTCACACCAGGCTCTCTCTACACATTCAGAGTGGCACAGAAATTTTCTTTGCAACTCTTGGATTAGGAGATTTGACGATAGGAAAGAGAATCTAATCCCTTCCTTTGTTTCACTGGATTATTTTATTGATTTTGAGCTATTTTCCAGTGTCCTCTTTTTCAGAGACAAAAATGCGAATTTCTAGAAGTATCTTTAAAGGAAACCTTGAAGGTCATTAGATTCCAGACAATGAATGCCTCCATTCAATGAGAGCACTGCCCTCTTATTGCCTACAAACCCTTTATCAGCAGTCTGTCCCCCTCAAAGGGCCTGCACTTTAACTTGGTCCAAACAGGTCACATTTCTAAAATACTTAACTGTCTCAAATATCTCTGGTCGGCAGCACTGAGTCACTACTGCAGCCGCAGCCACAGCGTTTCGGGCTAGATCGACCTCTTTCTAGTTTTCAATGGAATTATTCCATGTAATCCTATTTACACAGTCATTTAATCAAAGCGAGAAAAGAGATTACAGAGCTCGTGCTTGGTTTGCAAAGAGGGCACAGGGATCATCAATCCTACTGACTCTCAAAGTGACTGCACAGTACACTCCTCTCTGCTTTGGCGTGTTGGACATTAACCTTGTCTGTCTCCTGTTTTCTTGTTTAAATAAGAAGGCTTGGACGCTCTTCCTGTACCGGAGGCTGCCACACTCAGAGCCGCCACCATTATTCATGTAAGCGGATGCTACTTTTAAAAAAAGGAATAGGTACCCCACCCTTGTTTATTATTCTTCCAAGCAGAAGGCATGTACACATCAAGCAATCACGGCGAAACTTTTCTTTGTTGCAGCAACCCTTAACATCCTCATCTCAGGATCAAGGATCTCAGGTGTGACCCTCTGGGTAAAAACTAACCTGCACGCAGGGGCGGATACCTGCCTTCCCTTTCTCCCCAGACTCACTCAGGGCAAGTGCTCGAAGAACAGGATGCCAGGCCATGTTCCCTCCCCCTATCCGTTTCCAAGCCAGGGAAAGGTGCTTTACTCTTGCTGTTTCCTAATACATCTGCGTCCCAGCCTAGCTATCTATTTTAAATAAGACATTCTACGAGTAATTTGATAAATTACTTGCAACACACTGATGCCTCCATCAATGCTGAAAATGAGCACAAAGCCTCGAATCCTATCCCCTTCCATACATTTCAGAAATTTTAATCACCTATAGAATTGGGGAGAGGGGGCTGTGAAAGAGCAGCTTTACCCAAACTGCTGCAGATGACAGAACAATTCGGGAAGGAAGAAGCATGAAGAAGTATCCACCGCGAGGGTAGAAAGAACTATAGAGGAAAAAGAGATTATTACAGTGTCTCTTTCTACACACACACACACACACACACACACACACACCCCACCCCGTCAACGAAGAAAAGACACAATTGTACCCCCGGGCTATGTTTTATGCATAAAGCGCAATTTAGAGACTCTGGGCATTATCTCAATAACTATCCTTAGAAGGTGCACATTAAAAAAAGAAGTAGAAAAGAGAAGGAGGAGGAGGAGGAGGAGGAGGAGGAGGAGGAGGAGGAGGAGGAGGAGGAGGAGAAGAAGAAGAAGAAGAAGAAGAAGAAGAAGAAGAAGAAGAAGAAGAAGAAGAAGAAGAAGAAGTTGAAGAAGAAGAAAAGAACTTTTACTGTTTTGTAATGGGATAGGGTGTCATGCGGTGTGGAAGTACTACTACCCCATCTAGAGCTTTCTGGAGGCCCACCCAGAGCTGTGAACCCGTCCGACACCTCAGGCTGCCAAGTTTTCCCCGCCTGCCGGGCAGGTTCTGCACCCCGCCTGGTGCTGCCGCCTAGGAGCTCGGGGTTGGCTTCGCTCCAGCGGCTGCACCCGCGTCCGCACCGCGTCCCGCGCCCACCTGGGGACTGCACAGATAAATCTGACTGCGAGAGCGAGCGAGGGAGGGTGGCGCGTGGGAAGCTGTTTCATAATCTGCCCGAATCCACGGGGGGGGAAAAGACCTCCGGTCCTCGCCAAAAGAAAAAAAAAAACAGAAAAACAAAAAAACAAAAACAAACCAAGCCTTCCCCTGGGTAACTCGAACACCCAGGCCGAAGAAGCGAAGCCTGCATCTGCGGTTTGCCACTGACAGCTTCAAACTTCGCAGCTGCGACTGCAAACTTGCCACAGGCTCATTTCTCAGCCCTGGCTTCTCCCCAGCTCCGGGGCTCACCACCCCCGGGGCGGCGGCTCCGGCTCGCACAACCACGCCTGCCTCTCCCACACCCTCCTGGCTCACGGGGCGAGCGCAGCCCCACATGGCCCGGGCTGCCGGTCCCAGGGCGCGCCGGGCTCCCCGGGGCTCCCGGAGCGGATTTCCTTGGAAAGCCTCCGAGCTCCTCCCGGGCGTGCCCTACTCACTTGTGTCTTCTTCATAAGGAAAGGCAGCGCTGCGATCCAGCCCAGGCAGCGGTGTGGCGACTCCGTTTAGCTGTTCTGGAGCTCCAGCATATTGCACGAGCAGCGGCTGCAGATAGTCCCAGCATTGGGTAGCCCGAGCGCAGCGCCCCGTCCTTGGCCGTTGCTTTCCCGCGGCACTCTCGGTCCTGGTGACAGACAGCAAATGAAGCCCGGGCTGCTGCGCCGCCAGCGCTTTTTATACAGCTCCCTCCCGCCCGCTCCGGACACGCCTCCTTCCCTTCCGGAGCCTCGGGGAGGCGAGCTGCGCGCTGAAGTCTAGGCTGTGAGACCCGGGAGCGCGCTGAAGGGCGGGGATCGTCCCAGAGGTTGGATCGATCGAGCCTGGTGCGTCCCCTGTCTGGGTACTGGCCAGAGTCCCTGAGGCACGGGGCGTCTCGGATGCGGCTGAGCAACCTGCAGTAGCCGTCCCGCGCCCGTGTGCAGGGCTCCGCGAGTCCCAGCTCCGCAGCAGGCTCACCAGGCACTGTCCGGGGACCCGCGTTGCACCGCCTGCTCTGGATCATCAGCTCTGGAGCGACGCGGGTGGGGGCAGACTTCACTTGGTTCTGAGCAAAGACTTTTCCCCTACCCGGCCTCAGGGAAATAGAACCACCAACAACAAAGTTACACTCTATGGTTTACCAATTGTCTTAAGCAGTTTTTCTTTTTTTCTTTTCTTTGCTTCCTTCTTTCCTCCTTCCTTTCTTCCTTTCCATTCCTTTTCTTTCCTTTTTCCTTTTGTTTCTCTTCCATTACTTTAGTGAGAAAATAATTGACTCCGGATCAAATATTACTAAGAGAGATGCTGTTTTCAACAGCTTACTGCAGTGCCTTTGGAAACCAAAATTGAAAGAAACAGATAGGTTACTAAACGCGAGGGTTGTTCTTACAGCCAGGGTTTTTGAAAGGTCCACTTTTAGGTTAGGGAAGTTTGTAAAATCGGGAAGAATGCAATGATCATAGCAATAGCACACAGCATTATGTGATGGATCTTTTATGACGTAGTAGGTGTTATGCAAGAACTACTCATAAATGATCTCTTTTCCACGGGCCTAGTGTGTAGAACCTGGTGTGTGTGTGTGTGTGTGTGTGTGTGTCTTTCCCATTTTACAGATTAAGAAATATTCGCAAGAGGTTAATTTTCCCTAATAGCCAAGTAGCAGAGTTCTGATTCAAATTCAGAACCTTGGATATATTGCCCTTAAAAAACAAGAATGTTCTTGTTCCAAAAGCTCTTCAATATTTTTACATGTAATTGAAGAATAATAAAAAAGCATTTTGTTATTTTAATAAGAAAAATATTAGCCCGGAATCCCCATCAGTAATCTTTTTGGAAAAATATGCTGTCCATTCATTCTTATAAAAGAGGAGTATTCCAAATTTGCTTTGATTAGCTCGGTTGCCATTGTTAGAAATGTTAACATGCCAAACTCACTGTGCTACTTGCCTACTGGTGCTGTGAGAATCTCACGCAGAATAAATGGTGTAAATGGTCCCACGTTTATCTTCGTGTTGAGGGTCAAAAGTCCAAAATGGCTATTGTTGAGAAAAAAACAGCTGTTGCCAAGACCGCATTCCTCTCAGCAGGCTGAGTGAGAGAATTCATTTCCTTGCCTTTCCCAGCTTTGAAGGCTGCCCAGGTTCCTACACTCACATCCACCTTTATCTTCAAAGCCAGTAATGTTGAACTAAGTCTCCTATCAGACAAATCTTACCTTCTGGTCTGCCTCCCCATGGCACTTCTAAGGGGTTGGGAAATTGTATTGGTTTACCTGAGTGATCCAGAAAAATATTCCCACTTTAAAGGCAATTGTTTAGCAATCTGAATCCTGGGTTCTTGAAGGAAGTGCTAGGGGTATAAATCATAAATTCCAATCACTAGGGCATGGCTACTTTGGGGGCTGATATCCTGTCTGCTGGACTCATCTGCAATACTGTGGAGGTAAGTCTGTGCTGTGCACTCCCACCTAGAAGAATAGCTCTGTTAGTTATAAGATTATTACATTTTGGTACAGGAGACCAGAAGAAAAGCTAAAAATATAATAATATGACTGACTTTTCCTTTCAACAAAAAAGGTGCTGCATATCATTTTGACCAAAAGAAGCAAGAAGGCTAAAATGGTACCAATTATAACGACATTGGAAACTCTTTAAAGTAAGAGCTCCTTTCTGGTAATGTTGCCTTAACACACCCTACAGTGTGTCTTTGGATTGTGAGACAGAATCAAATACCTGTTGTATGTACAAAAGATCTTTGTGCCTACAATTTGCCTTGAGATCTAATGAAAGATGATTGTTAGAGAGGCTGCTTTTCCTTAAGATTCCCTCATAGACTGTAAGAACTTGCTTCCAAGATTCGAAGCCAGGCATTTATAACCATAAAAACCCTGAGATGATTTTATGTGGCTCATGGTTTACAGAGCACTGAACTTGTTTATAAGTATATTCTAAAAAGGATATTTAATAATATAATAGATCAACAGACTAAAATGAATGATTTCAAATTGACACTTAAACTTTTTCTGTATAAATTGTCTTTGTCAAAAATTAATATAAAATGGCTGGGCTATATATAAAAAAAAGATGGGTTATGTACACCTTTAATTTAGGAGGTAGAGGCCAATGGATCTCTCTGAGTTCCAAACTAGTCAGAGCTAAATAGTAAGGTTGTGAGAAAAGAAAAAGAAGAGAAGAAGAGGAGGAGGGGAGAAAGAGGAAGAGGGGGAGGGGAGGAGGAAGAGGAAGAAACAAGAAGAACAAAAAGAACAAGAAGCAGAAAAGAAGAGGAGGAGGAGGAAGAAGAAGGAACAAGAAGAACAAGAATAAGAAGCAGGAAAAAATGGGGCAGGGATGAAGAGAAATACATAAAATATTAAAAAGAAATGCTTAATCTGAATAACTGGAACATAGCAAGTGTTTTCCTCTATTAAAGTTACTTTGTGAAGCTGGAGATTTAGCTCAGCTACTAAAAGCACTTGTTTTACCAGAGGACACACGTTGGATTGTCAGAACTATTAAGTGGATGTGACTCCAGTTTCAGGAAAGTTAGCACCCTCTACTGAATCCTATGGCCACTGGCACACATGCAACAGACACACAGATACCTTCATACGCATGTAAATAAAAGACATTTTAGATAAAGATTATTTTTATGTGAGCCAATGCAGTGGCTTAGCGGGTCAAATGCAGTTCAAAACTGAGGACCTGGATTAAATCTCCGGAACCCATGTAAAAGTGGAAAGAGAACATCAACTCCACAAAGTTGTCCTCTCTCCTCCATGTGCACACTGTGGCATGTGTGAACCCCCACATACATCATACACGTACATGCATAATAACATTAATTGAAAACATTTATTCATTATTTTGAAGTCAAGTATTTTCTTGCCCCAAATGTTATTGATGTGTATTTAACAAATATGAATTGCATGTGTATCATGTACAACATTATATATATGTACACATATATACAAATGTGTATATATGTACATACATATGTATATGTATGTGCATGTATGTACATATGTATGTACACATGTATATACATGTGTATATATGTATATCTCTATGTATATATATGTATATGTGTATATATGTGTGTATCTGTATATGCATGTATATATATGTATACACATGTGTACATATGTATACACAGATGCAAATACATATGTGTACATGTGTGTAAACATACATGTGTATATTCATGTATATACATGTGTGCATATATATGTAAATGTGTATATACATACATATGCATATATGTAGATATATGTACATGCACACATATACATATGTAAATATGCATTTGTATACATATATACACAATGACTTTAAATTATATTTTTACTTTACATGTATTGGTATTTTGGCTGTATGTATGTCTATAGACCACGTGGTGCACAGGGAGATAAGAAGAGGGTGTCACATCCCAAGGAACTGGAGCTATAGATGATTGTGATATGTCTTGTGGGTGCTGAGAATTGAATCCGGTCATCTGGAATATCAATCTGCATTCTTAGTCATTCAGCCATCTCCAGCCCTACAGTGGCATTCTAAAATCAAGCTACCTCACATGTCTGCATTCTCATATACTTACAGTTTGGAGGCTGAGGTTATTTAAGAGCTACCTTGTCTGCCATATCTAGTGTACACCACATTACTGACTGCCGTTACCACACTATCATCTTGCTGATTCAGTCAAGGGACTTGAAAGTGGAAGGAACATAAGGAAGGCATGAAAGGGAAAAGCTGGTAGTAAACCACACATAACAGGTCTGCTTATCCAGAGCTGAGGACTGACTCAGAAACAACAGACTTTATAGCTGGTACTCTTCTGCAGACGTAGGTCAGCATATAGTCCTTATCAGGAGAAAACCAGCAGGGTTAATATCCCAGTAGATAAGGGGCACTGAGGTGTTTTCTCATGGAAGCAAATGCACTGCCTGTCCCACAGTTCCGAGTTCAGCTCGTAGCGTGTTGGGTAGAAAGCCTTCCTACAGTTATCTAGTCTTCTACACTTCTGATGCTATTAGTAGATAGCCTTTTGTGCATTTTAAAATATTAATCCATTCATGGAAACATTTGGGGAGCTCTACATTTTTGCTGTTGTTGGGCATGTTTAATTTAAACAATAGGTGTGACCATCTTTGCCTTAAATACAGGACGTATCTTGTGTTCTTTTACCACTTTGTGTCTGCCCTCTTTTGGATACGTATGTTGATTTATCTTGTGCGCATGTGCGTGTGTGCTATGTATGATGTATTTGTATTTATGCATATGTGTGTGAGGTGCCCTCGCCTATACGTGGAAAGAAAGAATACTACACATGAAATACACCAGCTTGCATTTTTGAGACAGGGTCTCTCTCAGAACCTGCCGCACACCAGTTTCATCTACACTGGCTGAGAGCCCATGATCTATCTACCGGTTCTTCCCCTCCCGGTGCTAGGGTAATGGCCCTATGTGTTTGCCTTGATTTCATCTGCATGTTGACGATTGCAACTTGGGTCCTCATGATTGTGTAACAAGCACTTAACCACCGAGCCACCTCCCTAGCCTCATAAACCTGTTCTTATTCAAAATGGCACCCTGAAGAGAAACCTGCACTGTCCAAGCAAATTGTACCGGAAGAATGGCAGGGATTTCCAACTTTAGATAACGAAGGAGGAGAACAGGC